GTGTGCGTGTGCGTGTGCGTGTGCGTGTGCGTGTGCGTGTGCGTGTGTGTGTGTGTGTGTGTGTGGAGGGGGGTGTATGTGTGTGTGTGTGTGTGCGCGTGCGCGTGCGCGTGTGCGTGTGCGTGTGCGTGTGTGTGTGTATGTATACATCTGTACCTCAGAGGTAAAGGATCGTATGTCCAGTTTTGTACATTTCGAGAAAACGGAGTTCAAAGTTTTAAATAAGGAAAAAGTATATTTTTATTAATTAAATGTAAAATAAAAGTAGCAATGTAATTTTTTAAATATTTATTACAGAAATAAAACTGACATGTTTTGTAGTATAATTGTCAATAACACATTCTACCTAACTCAAGACCTAACCAAAACTAACCCACACGGCACACTTTATCTGAGGGACGTCCTAAGGACATCAAAATGGTATCGATATCTGGTGGATATCCAGCAGATGCACAAGTGTCCTCCAGAATATCCTGTGCTGTGTGGGAAGGAACTTGTGATTGTTTACTTCTAAATAAAAAATACATAAAGAAAAATATATAAATTTTAGACACTATTTTAGACACTATAGTCGTAATAGACAAAACTTTTTACTATATTACAATTTAAGCTCCTGGTATTGGAAATAGTACTAACTCAATTTTGACAAAAAGTGGACATACGATTCTTTATCTCTGGAGTACAGATATATAATATATACATGTATATATTTAACAGTGTCGTAAGATGGGTATAAGATGATATATTTTTTTCAATATCTACGTACAGTTACAGATACTTAAAGAAAAATTAACTACATGTAGATACAGATGTAAATTTTAAATAAGTAACTAGATACAATTACAATAATTTTAAAATGTATCTAGATACGTTTTAGATTCTTTTCAAATACAATGTTCAATAAAAATGTATAATAATATACAAAATATAATATTATATATATACTACATATGTATAGAGGTAATTAAATAAGAAAAGAAAATAGATATATTGATTATTATTTTATTATTGGTTATTAATTACATATTAATTAATAATTGTATAACGTTATTTTAGTGTTATGTAATATCTTAGTATATATAAATTTTATATCTTATTCAGCCTATCTATATAAGTCTATGGTCATAGCTAAACTTTGATCAAAAAGCAGAAATTATATCTTGTATATAACTTGTATAAAACATAATTTTGAGATAAGATACAGTAAACAATGTAACTAAATATCTTACACCACTACCTGCATACATACATATGTATATATATACATGTATGTATGAATGTGTGTACAGGATAATTCATAAGTACATGTAAATACTTTGTGGGTGTAACGTAAAGGTAAAAATACGACTAAAATGTTGTATACAACTTTTTCTAAAAATCCTTAACCCTTTGTAACTCATGGTATCAAAAATAAAAAAACCATTTAACATTAAACATTAAACATTAAACATTAAATTCATGATTTAGAACTTTGATGGACATTTTGCCGGTTTGTAACAGTATTGTTACATGGAGTTAGAAAGGGTTAAATCAGCGTAATGATACAATACATAATGTAATACCTAGGCATAAACAATATGAGGACAGTACAAGCTTTAAGATGTGTCATGTATTCATATATTATAAAAATTATACTAATTTGTTAATTGTGGGAGAAATAACTTAGTTTGTATTGAGTTTGTTATCCCTTCTTTTTGCTGCACATAGCTCTGAAATAAAGCAATTTCAGAAAAAGTTGTATACAACATTTTAGTCTTATTTTTATCTCTACATTACACCCACAAAGTATTGACATATATTTATGAATCACCCTGTATACTAAGATATTACATAACACTAAAATAACTGTAAACAATTAATAGTATCTAATTAATAAGATAATTAATAACCAATAATAAAATAATAATCAATATATTTATTTTTTTCCCATTTAATTGCCTCTATCATATATAGCATACATATAATATTATATTCTACATAGTATTATACATTTTTATTAAACATTATATTTGAAAATAATTTGAAACGTATCTAGATACATTTTCAAATTATTGTAATTGTATCTAGTTACTTATTATATCTATATCTACATATAGTTAATTTTTTTTCAAGTATCTATAGCTGCATTTAGATATTGAAAAAAATGCATCTCTTACAACACTGGCGGTTATGACAAAATTTTGAATTGTTTAAAATGTACACATAGAATAAAACATAAAAAGTTATAATAAATACAATAAAATTATGCATAAGCATATATTGTACTAAAAATAATACAAATTATTTTTTATTTTATACACTTATGACAAAGCTGGTTTAAAATATAAAAAGGTAAAATATGAGATTTGAATACATACATGGATGATAATGATAAAGAGAATAATTTTGTACAAAAATTAAACATGACAACCAAAATACAGAATAATATAATACATAACAATTTATATAAAGGTATTAATAAAAATATTTATAATAATTAATTGACTATTTAAATATAAATAGTAATTTAGGAAAGATTTTTGTTTATATAGTCGTCATACTAGTGTAAAAAAACACAAAAATTAAGAAAAAAGTTCCAGCTAGCTGAATTTTGGTATGTATTTTTAGTTAGTATACTTCGGAAAAATACTTCGGAAATGACTATTTACACTCATGTTACAAAATGGTGTTGGACACCATTATTATTCATAAAGCGTATAGGCTTGAATATTTAACTTGATAAGTCATATAATATGTGAAAACATTTGCTTTTACAAAAAAAGTATACACCTAACCTTCTTTGTAGAAAATTTGCTAATGTATACATTTGATAATAGCTATTTTAGTCACAGGACCAACATATAAGGAGATATTTACTAAAAACTCATTTTTTACACCTATTATTCGCTGTAAAATTTTTTGCCTACAATGGATTGATGGGGATTTTTGATATATTTTTTATAACTACTAAATGAAAATACATACCAAAATTCAGCTAGCTGGGAGTTTTTTCGAAGATAAAGTCTAAAGTGACTGGACTAATAATGTAAATGTAAAAACAAAATGTTTTAAGTAAAAACAATATGATAATTATTTATTTTAACAGATATATTTCCGATAACTTTGACATATGTTGTTATAGTCATAAGTCTGATCAATCGTCAAGTGGTTTTAGCTGCTGATCATTGTTTATTAAAAAGTTACAAACATATAAATTTTCAACGTTATCTTACGACTTTTATATACAATCATTAAATTTAACAACTTTTGATGTAAAATGATACCTGTCCCTCACCAATCGATAATTTTCGCATGAAACTTAATGATCATTTTATTCTTTATGAGTACAACTTTCTACGCAATGTAATAGTAATTCTTTCCTGTACATGTCAACCTCATTAAATCGTTATCTAAACCTATGTGTAATAAGTTTAATAATTAACATTTCAATAAAAAATGACCGATGGTTACAACTTACAACTATTACTAAACTTGGCCTTAGAGACATTGATCCAAACAGTGAAAAGATGTCTTATAACATTTTAATTTTCTTAATCTAATAAAGAAACAGTCGTACTTACAGAAAATGTTCCATCCACATAAATTTCGGTAGCGGAAGATAAAGCATCTATTAAATCATTAGTTGATAAAATTATCGCTGTATTTCCACAACTTGTAATTATGCTTCCTTTATAGAAATCTTTCAACATATCAGAGTTTGGCAGCATATCACGTAATGATGCCAATGTATCAGGTACAGATGGTCTACTGTTTATACGTTCACGATGCATGGTACATCTTATAGATGGAAAAGATAAATATTGTCCTATACTTGGATTGCTAAAAAAAAGAAAATAATAAAGTATAACTAAAAAGTGCAACAAATATATCACACAATAATCTTACCTTCTGCACACTGAATCAAATATTTCCTTTGGATCTCTACAAGTCTCGCGTGCAAGCTTTAGCATTTCTTCTTTCATTTCATATTGACCCATGACTAATGGTGATGTTGGATGATTATGCTCTTCCAAAATTTTAACATTATTACCTTCAAGGATTATTAAGCCTCGACATTTCATTTTTCGACGTGAGCTGCATCGAAAGGTATCATCATAGCGACTGTCTTTGCAATAAACATAATCATTATGTATGTAAAGGCTTGACCCTTTCTTTCTTCCACGTACAACTTGCATCTGTAATTAAGGAAATTAGTACCGCTAGACCACGTTAAAATAATAAATAGACAATAGTCAATATTTGTAATAAAAATTGAAAAAAACAAAATGTTCCTGTTGGAAACTCAAAATCATGGATAATATATTTTAATTATTTAAGCATATGTCTTTGAAAGTATTATTTTCAGGAAATTCTCGAGCAATCCAATATTATAATTATTAATAAAGTATAATTAATCAATTTTATCAATTTACTTAGGAATTTCTTAAAACATAGTTTTTTGTATTACATATGCAAAATAATTTCTGACATTATGTATGTATATATTATAAAAACTATAAAAAATACCGCACATGCATTATTTTTTTTACACCAGAATTTGGGCCTAGTAAAATTTATATCAAAATCTATGGCGTATTAAATTAATCAATAGCTTATTGCTCTCAAATTGCTGGCGATTTATTCTGTTTGCAGAAGCGTTAGACCACGTACGGATAAAATATTTCATACAATAATTCAACTGATCAAATTCTTATAATAAAATATTTAATTTGTGGAAAAGTAATACGTAGCAGATATTTTTTTCTTGCTGTTGTCGGTTACTTACATCGGTAACGATACGATGAGAATCAGATAAAAGAAACAGGCAGCGTTAAAAAATGATCACTTTTTAGAATTAAGAATGTATGAGCAACTGAGGTTACAATGACGACACGAGCACGATCGTTACCACAAAAGCATAATTGTTACGACAAGGAACATCAAAAGCAAATTAACGACATGAGCGCACGATCGTTACCACAAAAGCATAATTATTACGACAAGGAACATCAAAAGCAAATTAACGACATGAACGCACAATCGTTACAACAAATGCATAATTATTACGACAAGTACATCAGAAGCAGATTAACAACACGTGCATTGAGCGACTTTAAAATGACGAGCGTGGCTAACTGCCGCGAAAAACACGGGAAACATTTTCACGCATGTCTCGCATGTACCACGTGATTCAAGTGTGTTCTAAAATTTACTGTCAGTATTGAAAATTTGTACTTTATGCAATAATATTATAAGTATCAACAGTACTGAAGTGTATTTGAACCATATATTGATTCGTAGATGCCTTCCAGTTAGCAATGCAAGTCGACAATAGCTACAAGAGTTATTTTTTGTTTAATACCAAACAAGACCTACAAAATATATCGTAACAGTATGACCGTGAAAAAATTGACCAATCACAGTCCATTATTCTTTGACCGCAAGAAGAATAATCGACCGTGGTCAATTTTCCTATTCTCCGTCTACAATAGATGCTTTAAGCCTAAGCCGTAAGAAATTGACCAATCACAGTCGATTATTCTTTTCAAATTCAAGTATTAATAAATTTAATTGATAAATTTCTTAAGTGTCCATCTACAATAGGTGTTTTAAGTCGTAAGCCTTATGCTTTATGCTCTAAACTTATGACTACGTTTACACGGCTCGATTTACGCCGAAGTTATAACAATCGATGTTATAATTACTGACGTTAAATGCCGTGTAAACGCTTTTTTACGACAAAGTTACCACGTCGATGTAATAACTTCGTCGTAGAAGAGCGTTTACACGGCATTTAACGTCAGTAGTTATAAAATCGATTGTTATAACTTCGGCGTAAATTGAGCCGTGTAAACGTAGTCAGTGTGGATTCGCTACCGCTTAAGGCCGTGGCACACAGAAAAACTTAAGCAGTGAAACTCAAGCAGTAAGCAAATCAACCAATCACAGTCAAGAACTTAAGGCATAGCCCTAAGCGGTAGCGAATCCACACTGTTGATTTCTTACTGCTTAAGTTTTACTGCTTAAGTTTTTTTATGTGCCAAGGCCCTTAGGGCCGTGCCTTAAGTTCTTGATTGTGATGGGCTGATTTGCTTACTGTTTGAGTTTCACTGCTTAAGTTTTTCTATGTGCACGACCTTAAGGCTTATGCTAAGACTCCATAGCTGCGGCAACGCCGTGCGGCGGAGTGCGTTGACCAATCAGAAGGCTTTGATTTTGCCGCAGATTAGCACAGGCGACTTGCGGCAGCCTTCTGATTGGTCAACGCACTCACGGCGTTGCTGCAGCTATGGAGTCTTAGCATTACGGCTTAAAACACCTATTGTAGACAGGGACTTAAGTGCTGGTCTACAACCTTGTTTTAAAGGGTATTTAAGCTTTAAACCGTAAGAAATTGACCAATCACAATCGAGTATTCTCCTCACATTCCATTGTGATTGGTCAATTTCTTACGGCTTAAAGCTTAAATATCCTTTAAAGCAAGGTTGTAGACCAGCACTAAAGCGTCGTCTACAATGGCAGCAGGAGTATGCAGTAAGACGTAAGCAGTAAGCTATTGACCAACCACAGTCGATTATTCTTTAATTGTAAAAATCTCATTAGTCAATAACTTACTGCTTACGTCTTACTGTATATTCCTGCTACCATTGTAGACGACGCTTTAGGGCTCCACACACGAATTGCAGTAACAGTTAAGGCTGATTTATAGAGGCCGTAATCGTTGATTTAAGCCGTAAGCTTTAAGAAATTGACCAATCACAGTCGAATGTGAGAAGAATAATCAACTGTGATTGGTCAAATTCTTAGATCTTACGGCTTAAATCAACGGTTACGGCCTCTATAAATCAGCCTTAAGGTTTCAACCAATCGCGTTGCTCGATTTGGCCGTCGTAACCGTAGCCGCCCGAATCGGTCAAGGCGATTGGTCGAAACCTTACTGTTATGCTGGGTCTACAATGCGAGTCTCAAAATCGCAGGAACGGTCGTAAGAAAGAAATTGATCACTGTGATTGGTCGTTTTCTTTCTTACGACCGTTCTTGCGACTAAGACTTGCATTGTAGACCCAGCATTACTGTTACGGAAATGTAGCTCGTGAGCACACATATGTTCTGCGTGTATATGAGCCAACTTATGGACGCCATATTGGCTGCATGCCCGTTCCCAATAGATTTCAGTATTGGCACTGAATATCGGAACGCAGCCTACTATGTTTTGGTTTATGTCGGTATGACAGTTTTCATAACCTGAATTAGTGTCAACTTACACGATTTATTGTATGTGTCAATTACCTTAAGGCCATTGCACGTAACAAAGTTTTAGTCGTAATCGTAAGGCCATAAGAAAATAGACCAATCACACTCGATTATTCTTCGAGCGCGAGGAGAATAATCGACTGTGATTGGTCTATTTTCTTACGGCCTTACGATTATGACTAAAATTTTATTACGTGCAATGGCCTTTAGGGTACAAGACACCTAAATTCCTCACCCGAGGAATATAATTGATAAAGCCCCCCCAATTTACACGATTTAATATTTTGCTTCGCGGGGCAGGACAACGCTTTTTTCTGCCAGATTCTTTCGTTCTACGCAAAAACGCGTCGAATAAGCTTAATTTGATTAAAAATGGAGCTGAGGTATAGCTAAACTGAATAATTTCCAAGTTGAAAATAAATGTTTCAATAAATTTTCGGCATACGACAGCCTATTGCAATATGCTGTTTTCAAAACATACAG